TACAAATTATAAAATCCAAAATGAATAATAAAAATCAATCTGAAGATGTTGTGATTTTTAACAAAGGATTTACAAACTTGAAATCTCACTTTTAATCAATGCAAGGTATTTGTATTATTTGTATTGTCATCCTTTTGCTTGTGCTAAATTCGAATGAATACTATGTCCACCTATGAATTTACCAATCTATGGTCACATCAAAGTGGCTTCTCGATGAAATGTCCTAACCGCTAAACGGCGATATGCTGCTTCACCCAAAAACATGTTTTGGTTAATAGCTAAGCTGTAAAACGTTTTTCGTATCATCAATTTGTTCAGTATATTTTGATTATTTACGTGTCTGTACCATACGATATGATTTCTTTAATATGTCTCTTCAAAATATCAAGACTATTTTGCTGTATACTTGAGAATGTACATTTAAGCGTGTGATCTGTTTATTTCTTTTTCATGTATGATCCAAGATGCTCTTTATTAATATTGTCTGACTTGATATGACTTTACTGTTGCTGGACTGTTAAACAATTAACGATACTAACCATCATGTATAATTCAACAAATTCGTTTGCTTTTAAAGGTTTTTGTATTTTTACTTTAAGTTCTTAATTCAAGTTTGGTGTACTGTCGCGGATGCGCACAAACAAAATTACCATATATATTCCCCTCCCTATGATAATCGTCGTCAGAAAAAAAAAGTGAATTAAGAGAAATGTCATATTTTGTAACCATTCAATATGGAAGCACTTGAGAGGCTTTATTATCGGTGAATACCAATGTCATAAAGTATAAATCAATGTGTCAATGGCACTGGAGGATTGGCGGCATGAATATATTTTTTCTATATATTTTATCTTGAATGGGCACAATTTATTATGCCGCACATAAGCACATTGTATTCAGTCCACCTGAAAAATAGGGATCATTATTTTGAACTACAGGTCCGAACAAGAATGGCTGTTTTGACATTTGGAGGATGTTATTGACGTAAAAAAGCATCTTTTATATCGTAATATATTTCACAAAACAATTTTCATAATTTTACCTAAACAAAAAGCTCGATGGGACGCCAATCCAATTATATTTGCCGAAGATTGAACAAATTAGTAAAATAAATCAGGTAAATTTATTGTTATGTGTTTTACATGTATATGGGCGATCGATGAGGCAGAACACACGACTTTTAAAAAATATATACAGTACATAAATAAACAAGATAATACTGAAAGTAGTATGATAAAAAAGATCTTAGGGATAGGGCCTGATCCTTGGACAAATCCTTGCAGCATGTGTTTTCAAGGTAAGCAATTGTACATATTGTAAAAGGGTGGGAATCTCAAATGTTTCATGTTATAACCAAGCCCCTTATGGTGGTAGCAAATTCAAAGAACAATTCTGGTAGTATGATTTTGTTTGCCTCTTTATGCCCAGCCGTTGTATATGACCATAGCTGTTGATAGGACGATACACTTTATACACCCAACCAGACAATATGGTTAAAGGGTGGGGATCTCAGCTGTTTCGAAATTGTGACTTAGGAACTATGTCACTGTAGGAGGGTAGTCAGACACAGGGATCAATGCTAATTCCATAGATATAGCGCCCTATCTAGCTAACATAAGCCACTCTAAAGCGCTTTACAGTACAAAGATATTCGTGGCCATTCTTGTAGAATGTTTATTTGTCTCTTTGTACTAAGCAATTATATAAATGGCTATATGGTGTCAAAAACCACTCAGCCCCTCAATTTGGTTACAAATTTACTACTTGTACCATTTTGAATCCCCACCTCCTCGAGATGTTTTCAGTCAAATTTAGTTGAATTTCAATAAACAGTTATGAAGAAGTCGTTTGTAGATATTGTTGAGTAGTAGACGGATGCCATATGTTTACTTCGGTCCTTTGGACCAGGTGAGCTATAGCTATTTTACACTGTATTGAATATATAACAAGAGGCCCAGAGAGCCTCTGTCGCTCAACTGGATAAGACAGCAACCATGGGAAAGTATGCTTATTACATAAAACCCCTCCGACGGTACAGACGCAGACAGATTTAAATCTCGAATATCCCTATTGGGCCCTGCAACTCCCTGCACCAAGCGGGGCCTCAGACTTCGTTTATAAAATATCTCGTAATAGTCCCCCTTTGCCCAAGGATGATCCAGGCTAAATTGGAATAACATCCCTTAATTACTATGGTAGAAAAGGATTTCAAAGGTTTTTACCTCTATTTCCCTATTGGGTCCCGCAATTCTGCCCACAGGGGTCAAAACCCAACATTTATACCAAACTAAGTCCCTTTGACCAAAGCATATTTCAGACAAAATTGGGATGATGTTCCTTAATCCCTTTTGTAGAGAAAGGATTTTAAAGGTTTTAACCTCTATTTCCCCTATTAGGCCCCAACCCTCTGTCCCCAGGAGGTCCACGCCTACCGTTTATACAAAATCGAGTCCCCTTGACCCAATGATGCTCTAGACCATCGCGTTTCGTATTACCAGAATTTTATTGTTTTGCCGCCGGATCTTCATTTGGATACAAGGTCATGTCGGAATTAAACTGCCTTTTTCTGATTTTCATCCTTCTGTAATAAATTTCATTAAAACGAATTGGCAAAATAAATGGTCTGAAGAATTAAACAGCAAGTTATTTGCAATTCAACCTCATGTGGGTTCATATGCAACAAGTAGAGTGGACCACAGAGAGGAAGTTGTCCTCTCGCGACTGAAAATTGGCCATACCTACACCTATCGCACATTGTTACATTTTGCGTAAGGAAGACCAACCTTATTGTCATGCGTGTGATCAACCACTTTATGATTGAATGCGCTGATTTCAAACAAATACGTGACAGATTTAGTGATGTACCGTCTATGAAAAGAGTATTCGATACAATTTCTGTGCAATTAATATATAACTATTAACACTCTATTGATCTTTACAATAAAATGATATATTGTGCAACCAATTTGTTCGATATTGAACGGTTTTTTTAATCCATTACATATTTTAAGCTATTGTTTTGGTTTGGTGTTTATTTTCGTGAATGTCTTTTTTTACAGTATTGTTGGCCCTAAATGACTCGCATTGTCGATGGGCAAACAAACAAAGCTCTAGACCAAATTAAGATAAAATCCCTTCATCCCTATTGTAGAAGAACAATTTTAAAGGTTAACCTTTATTTCTCCTATTCGGTCCCACTCCTCTGCCCCCAGGGAAGCAACATCCACCGTTTATAGAAAATTGAGTCCCTAAATCCCTACAGCAGAAGGATTTAAAAGGTTTACTCTATTTTCCACACCTCTGTCCCTAGGGGCTACACCTTTATACTATATTGAGGCCCCTTGGTCAAAGGATGCTCCAAACCAAATTGGGATGAAATCCCTTAATCCCTATGATAGTTGAAGGATTTTAAAGGTTTACCTCTATTCGGCCCCGCCCCTCTGCCCATAAGGGGGTCAACACCCAACGTTTATACAAAATTAAGTCCCCTTGCCCCAAACATTTTGATTAACGTCCTATCAACAGCAATGGCCATTTAAGGACGGCCTCCCCTGTGGGCAAGATGCAAGCGTCTAGTGTATGCGGTGTATTTTGGGAGGCAGCGATATGTTCGTGTTTGTCTCCTTGTAATAGCGCGGAACTGATGCCTTCTTTATAGTGCTACCTCACTGAAACATGCTGCCGAAGACACCCAGCAGGACACCCCACCCGGTCACATTATACTGACAATGGGCGAACCATTAGTCCCACTCCTTAATTGCTGAGCGTTAAGCAGGAGTAGAAACTACCCTTTTTACAGACTCTGGTATGTCTCGGCAAGGGCACAGAACCCATAAAACCTACGGTATAAAAATGAATTTGAAGGTTTTGCCTCAATTTCGCTTATTAGGCCTCGTCCCTCTGCCCTAAGGGAATCACACCCACCGTTTATACAAAATTGAGTCCCCTTTGCCGAAGGATGCTCCAGACCAAATAAGGATAAAATCCCTCAATCCATATGGTAGGAGGATTTTGAAGGTTTTACTTCTATTTCCCTTATTGGGCCCCGCCCCTCTGCCCCAAGGGGGGAGACACCCACCGTTTATACAAAATTGAGTCCCCTTTGCCGAAGGATGCTCCAGACCAAATAAGGATAAAATTCCTCAATCCATATGGTAGGAGGATTTTGAAGATTTTACTTCTATTTCCCTTATTGGGCCCCGCCCCTCTTCCCCCAGGGGGGACACACCCACCGTTTATACAAAATTGAGATAATTTGCCGAAGGATACTCCAGACAAAATTTAGTCGAAATCTACTTGGCCGTTCAGGACAAGTAGCGTTTTAAAGGAAAAATTGACCGACGAACGGACGGACGGACGACGGACGCTTCGCCATGGCATAAGCTGACTTGCTCTTCGGGCAGGTGAGCTAAAAATAGACGTAAATGAAACAAAAGTATTTTTTCGTAAAAGTTAACTAAAAAGTGGCTTTTGCAGAATGTAGGTGGAGATATTCGGTCTTTCGCTTAGGGGACATTAAGATCTGCTGCCCATATTGTCTGGCTTTGGATAAAGTTAAAAATAATAAAATCGAGAAAGCAATAATTTGATCCGACACTTTATCACTATTACAAGGTTTTAAAAATCGGAATTTTAACATCATCCTCAAACAAAACATCGCCTTTGGTGTTAACATGATTTTACTGTTTTGCCACATGATCTTGATTTAGATACCAGGCCTGGTTTAGTTTGAATAAATGGAACCGAAAGATATTAAACTGCCTTATTCTGACTTTAAACCTTCTATAACAAATTCTTTTACAACGAAGTACACAGTACGTGGATTTATAGTAAGGCAGATCGAGGAACGGAAATTGTCCTCTCGCACCTACGCGAAGGCCATACCTACATCACTCATGGCTACATTTTGCGTTAGGAGACCAGCCTTGCTGTCATGTGTGTAATCAACCATTTACAGTCAAACACTTTATGATTGAAAACGCTGATTTCAAAACAAAACGTGACAGATTTTGTGATGTACCGTCTATGCAAAGTTTATTCGATAGTCCCTGTTAAATTCATATATGACTATTTACACTCAATTTATCTGTACAATAAAATATGATATATTTTGTAGCCAATTGGTTTGTTGTTCATGTATTTCTCAATTCTTTACATATTCTTATCTACTTAGTTTTGATGTGAAGTTTTCATTTTTGTGAATGTCTCTTTCTTTAGTGCTATTTGGCTCTAAATGACTCGCCTGGTCGATGCGCCGTTGAAAAATACAAACACAAAACAAATGAAACATTTGGGATTGTATTTTTCTCTCTCCTGCATTAATTTCCGGTCATTTTCTTCCATTTTTCGTATAAACTTTGCCGTTACGAGGACATGAACCTTAATCAAAACATAAACATGCAATTTAATATGCTGATATTTATAACGAAGACGGAGGCAATATGAAGAATTAAATTCATTCAAATTATGTTCTTTGTTTCGTAGATACTTTTTTGACAATATTTCATGTTCCAACACCTTAGAGACTCCGTGGTGATCTTTTGATCGTTGGATTGGCATTAAACCCGGTCAGCAACTAGCTATATATAGTAAGTCCTGATAATTAAATTCATGAGAGGCATCTAAGTCATGATTACCGGAATACCGAACATCAGCATATTTTTTTTTTTAATTTCCCCGAATTGATTCAAAATCCATTACAAGCACATTCTTCTTACAAATGATGACTTGATGTTTAGATATAAAATGCATTTAATTTCAAATATTTCTATTCCAACGGAATATCTCACAATATGGTCGTCAATTTTGACGTTTGTAACTATCAATAATCCCACATTTTGAGATAACGAGGTGCCCGTGTCAGCTGTTGACATGTGAGCGTCTGTGTTTTAGTATCTCGGTAGTGGTGAAGTTGTAGTCTTTCTCACAGACTGAACAATGGTACGCCTTTCGCATATGATTCAACTGGCTCTCTTTCTCCTCCTTTAAATCGTTTTCGTCCTCATCTTTAGTAGCTGAAATTCCAAACAACACAATGATCTATCATTTGAAGGCAATACAGTTGAAATGATTTTACAGTTAATTGAGACTTCAACAATATATATTCAAAAATCTTTCCAATCACACATCTGTTTTATTCTTCGTTATAATCTCCTCTGTGTTAATCTTTCGATGTACAACAGTGGTTGATGTATCTCTATACTCTTATGTTTCGACACTTATCCTATACATTTTGACTACTTATCCTATACATTTTGACTACTTATCCTATACATTTTAACTACTTATCCTTTATATTTTGACTACTTCTCCTTAACATTTTGACTACTTATCCTATACATTTTGACTATTTATCCTATACATTTTGACTACTTATCCTTTACATTTTGACTACCTATCCTTTACATTTTGACTACTTATCCTTTACATTTTGACTACTTATCCTATACATTTTGACTACCTATCCTATACATTTTAACTACTTATTCTTTATATTTTGACTACTTATCCTTTACATTTTTACTACTTATCCTATACATTTTTACTATTTATCTTATACATTTTGACTACTTATCCTTTACATTTTGATTTCTTATCCTATACATTTTGACTACTTATCCTATACATAATGACTACTTATCCTTTACATTTCGACTACTAATCCTATACGTTTTGACTAAAGATTTACATTCGCACATTTAGTCTTCATAATCGAACACTTTGGATCTCTTGCAGCTATACCGTCCCCCTTCCACCTTTATTATGAGAGCTTTTACATTTCAAAATCTACCCCTCCTACTGAATATATTACATTTTTGATGCAATCCTTTGATACTGGTACACGATACCTTCCCTTTAATACCAACGCATCGTACGTTTTGAAGCTAACACTTGTATAGTGGACACTTACCTTCCGTTTTATCGCCATCTATACAAAGATGCATGTATTGATACATATACCAAATAAATAAACTAATATTACAAGAATCCATATTCTGAAACTCATCTCTCCACTCTCATAATCACTCTAAGCATTGTAAATATTGGCACTGTACATTTTGACATTATCTGAACACATGTTGACAATTACCCTCTATATTTTGACTGTGACACTCTGCTTCATGGCGGAGCCTCTCCAGAACATTGACCAGCAGACTAGCGTTACAGCGTGGACAGGTCCAGTGTTTGACCATGTGACTTGTATACTCGCCCCAGACTGATGCCGAACTGTCATCCAATAAACTGTTGAATAACAATAAATTTCGTTAGAAAATGTTGTGTATACAATTTTAAGGTCTACTGGTCAGAAATCCTACATTTTCTGTAAACAATTTATAACAGCTACTCCTCATTTACAGCACAATTCCCCATTGGTTTAGAGTCTGCACTGATGTATTGGGTCTGTAGTTAGTCCTGAAAGAAATTGGAGAAGTACGATATTCAGAATGTTCACCAGAGATACCAACTTGAAAAGTATGGTATCTTTATTGTTACTGAACACAATTTCATAACACAACCTTATTACTTATCTACTGCATATGACCTGTAACTATTTTTAAACAACAAATAGCGTGGTCCTATTTTCTTAAGAGCCTCACTTCTTTCAGAAAGTTTAACGCTGCTCAAACACATGATATGAAATACATTATATATTAAGTTGGACAATTAGATAACATTTCCATACAGGCTAAATATCATTACCTATACATCAAGGTTATTCAGAAGTAGCCATTTAATTATTTCAACACGTGTGACTCCTGTGACCTGGAAGACAGATCAACATCATTCATTTGGACGGCAGACTTGATATAAAAGACCTTGATCCCAGCATGTTACAGGCCAAATGACATTGCCCTAGACGCCTTCGTTATTCAGAAGATATTGTTTCAATTTTTTGACCATCAAAGTAAGCCAAAGTACTAAGTTTAAAACATAGTTTTAACATGCTTAGTATCATATCAAAGGCATACTGGCTTTCCAGAAGAAATTTGAAAACCTAAACACATTTTACCCTGTGACCTTAAAAGTATGTAAAGGACATTCATCTTAACACTTGATAGTCCTTTATCCCAATATGCTACATGCCAAATATCATGACTCTGGTTGTTTAAAGAATGTATTTAAAGAAACTAGAAAATGACTTAAGGAAATGAATGACCTCTTGATCCTGTGGTTCGCCTTTGGGCATATGAACAAGAAACTTCGTGATAAAAGTATTACTATGGAATACTCCCTTCGCTCTTCATTCCTTGTGCTCAAAATGATAACATTATTACATGGAAGTTCCAATGCAGACAAGCATTACACTGGTTTGACCAGTTGCAATGACCTTAGTCGTTAAGGTAAGATTGCGAGTCGTACTGATCAAAAGTTACTGTCTGGTCAAATTTTCGGCCTCTAACCTTTTGCTATTTTCGTTGAGTATTAACCGGAATATGCGTGACATGCCTTCCAATGAACGGTTGTACTGACAAGAACTTACAGTTCAGACAAGCATTCGCTGCCTTGGCTTTTGGCCTTCTAAACATAAGAAGCAAGTCTGAAGAACAATTTGACTTTTGATTCCTGATGTACACATCTGGAAAAATTACACATTTAGGTTACTGCCTCTTGAGGTGACTGGAAACGGATGTAAAAATTAACAAACAATGTGACTGCTAAATAACCCATGTACCAACCCCCTGAGACCTTTTTAGGTGGAGTATGAATTGCCCCCGAGAACAAAAGCGTTTGTTTGTTTGTTTATGTTTAACGGCCCATCGACGGCTGTGGTCATTTAGGCCAATTGTGATTTTTTTGATTTTTTGATTTTTTTTAACAAACATGTGAGTAGCGAAGATAAAATCAGATAAAAAGGTTGATTTTAAAAGCATTCGCATTGTATGTGTAGATAATTAAAATAACGAAGAGATCCCAGAGGGATCTTGACGCCCACCATTGATTGTACCAGCTTCATTAGTTCTTTGTCAGTTCGATCTTTTCTCTTCTTTCCTCTGATCTGTTTGATCGAGTCATGTTAACAGTAAATGCACCTTCAGGTAACTTTTGATCTAAACTTAATACTGATGTGTATGAAAGCCAACCTTCAAAGTGAGTTTGTCATTTCACATATTTACTAGTACAGTACTTAATGTGAACGAAATAGAATTGATCATTGAAATATGAGAAAGATCTGTTTAGTTCTTCCTTTAGCCATTTTGTGTTTATGATCAGTCTCAAAACATAACATCGTAAACGAGGGATCAAAGGCAACCTACATATCAAATTTGAGAAAGATCCCTCAAGTGATTCCAAGAAATAGTACTAACAAACCTTCAATGTCAAAAATCGAAGATGGCTGTCGGTAGGCCAATTTGTTTAACTGATCAGTTTCAAAAGTTAACATGAATAATAAAGGATAGTGGGGAACCCGCATTGGCTGGCCCAAAAACAAATCTTGGGGCGAATAAATAATTTGAAGCACTGGCCCAAATGACATATTGGTGGCCAAAATAATTTTGGCAAGAAATATTTCAACAGCATTTAACACAATGCTTCAGCACATTTAAATTACATTTAACATGACAATGTTTGTTATATGTAAAACAGAATAAAACATTGTATTTTTAATTCTTCAACCCTAGTTAAAACCTGACATGATCCACTCCATTCAGGTCTTACCAAAAAGAAATACACAAACTCGCACCTCAAAGAAGACACTAGGCCAGTATTTATATAGAAAATCTGGAGAGAAAAAATCATCACATTTTCAAAATCACGGACAGTTCGATTCAAATCGAAGTAATGACAACTGAAAAATGTACTGCCCCCCAGTTAATGTGGAAGGGACTATAATTTCTTTTATTCATAACTTTTTCAACAGCCTAAACTATTGCGACTACTTCACTTTTGACAACTTTTGGTCGCCCGAGCAAGACTTTAATCGCCAATGGCAAGCGAGAGACTGTCCGTTTCAGGCACTGCTCTACAAAAAGGGAACAAGGGGAATCTACATATAAAATTTGAGAAAGATCCCTCTGGTACTTCGTGAGAAATACCGATAACAAACTGTAGTTCACTATCAAAATCCAAGATGGCTGCCTGTCGGCCATGTTGTTATCTGATCAGTCTCAAAAGTTGCCCTGCACAGTTTAGGACCAAGGGGAACCTACATATAAAATTTGAGAAAATCCCTCTCGTACTTTTTGAGAAAAACCGATAACAAGAATTGTTAAGGACGGACGACGGACCACGGACCCGCAGGGTAAGGTGGTTAAAAGACATCAGAGTCTATAGAATAGACCGATGTCTTTCAAATAGTTAAATAATGCCTTCGAGTCCACGGAACTGAAAAGAGTTTTCATATCCGGGACTCGAAAGTAGTTATCTCGAATGTGTTTAAAATCGGTACATTCTATTAAAAAATGTTCCACTGTAAATGGAGTGTCACATGCGTGGCATGAAGGTAGATATTCTCGTTTTAAAAGGTACGAATGAGTAGGATATGTACATGTGTGCCCAGTACGGAGCCGAGCGAGGACAACTTCCTCTCTACGATCTTTCCGACTGGGAATAGATGTTTAAATTTCGGTTGTACCTTAAAAATCGTGTTGGTGGTCTCGAGAGACCAGCGTTGCTGCCATTCATTTTGAACGGCTGTACGAATAGTAGGTTTAAAATCTGTATATGGTAGTTTGATATTTGTTTGGTCGAAATTTAATGCTTTTTTTGCTTCCCTATCAACACATTCGTTGCCTTTAATTCCGACATGGCTCGGAATCCATAGTAAAGTTATTTTTGACTTATTCAAGATGCGAGATATTCGAAGAGCAAAGTTTTGTATGAGTGTGTTTTTAGGATCTCGTAACTGTAAACTCTGTAGGACAGATAGAGAGTCAGAACAAATGACCGCCTTTTTAATGCGGTGTCCATTGATATGGTCGAGGGCCAAACCAATGACGCATGCTTCGGCAGAAAAGATGGAGGCGCCGTCTGGTAGTCGAACTGAAGTGCAAGTATTAGCAGTACGGCAGGCTGCTGTCACTTTCTCACCTTCTTTCGAACCATCGGTGTAAAGTTGTGTATGAGAAGGGTAATTCGAAATGCATTCACGAAAGGAGGATTTGTGTTCTTCGGGCATAACACTTGATTTCCTTCGCTCATGTAATGTAAAGTTAAAATCAGGTGTTTGAATGGTCCACGAAGGAACATCAGATATGTTAAATTCAGCTATGTCAGTCAACTTTCTGTTGAGTTCTTGCAGGAAATTTGAAATTCGGATACCAAATGTTGGCAGAAGTTTTTGGTTTTGCGTAAATATGTTTTTTAGGTATTTTGGGTTGAATTTTGGTCAGAAACAGCATTTTTAGGGTTCGATTTTAATTGAGCTGCAAACAGTAATGTACGTTTTTTCTGTCATAAAGGGATGGTTCATTTGCTTCCACGAACATGCTTTTTACAGGTGTTGTTCGAAAAGCTCCAAGGGCTAAACGTAGCCCTTGGTTATGGATTGGGTCTAGCATCTGCAGGTATGAACTCCTCGCCGACCCGTATACCACAGAACCATATTCCAGTTTTGTTCGAATAAGTGCTCTGTATAGGCGCAAAAGCATTTCACAGTCCGCTCCCCAATCAGTATGAGAGAGGACTCGTATAATGTTTAACGCCTTGGAACACTTGTCCTTCAGATACGATAATTTAAATGTGGTATGAAAGAGAGTTTCGAATCAAAAATGAGACCGAGAAATTTAGTCTGTGCAACAACAGGATAAAAGCGTGACCTGCCTCTTAGCATCAAGGATACAATAATCAAACACTTTTAATGTCATGGTCGACTATCTAGGTTACCTACTAGACATTTATTTCATATCTTCTTGTATTCAATGGTAAAGCTATTATAATGGCAAAATAGTAAATAGTTATATGCTGAAAATGTTAAAGCAATAGTCTAAGGCCCTCAAATGACTCGGGGAATTCGAAAGTGTTTTTTTTTCAATAAAGCTTCTTCTGTCGATATAAAGTTAGAACAAGATGGTTGAATTTCTGGGGTAGTCACACAAGGTTATGTGATAATCATTTGCATTTGGAGTCATCAGAAATAAATGAGGTTTCGTGTAATTACATAATAACTGTTACCAGGTATCCCATTACAATCATTATGAGGAATAAAAGTGTATTTTAAAAATAAGCAACTTCAATTTATTGCAATGAAATTGATTACTTTATACAAAATGCTGAAGGAATCTGTTTTCAGTTCCGCCAAC